ATTTTTAAAAAATTAAAATTAAACGACTGTAATTTTGTAAGAACTTAAAATGTATAACTCTAAATTTTTAAACTTATTTATCTCTTTATTCATTTGTTCCATGTTAATATAAGCGGTACTGTAAAAATTATTTTAAAAAGAAAGAAATTTTACATATACGAAGTAGATATATACTGACACGACATTGCTATAAACTATAGATGATATAAAAGTGATAGGATATTTATGTGTATTTCTCATGCAGTTTCTCGTGTCTTTTTTGAGGTTGTGTATTTCTCATACATTTTTTCGTGTCTTTTAATTTTTATAGTTGTGTATTTCTCATGCATGGTACATGTGTGTCATGAGTTATTCATATAACAGTTAGCAAGTGTATAGTGTGTGATGTGAGTGCAACTTGCCTTTAGATATTTTGCATGAAGTCAAAACTAGAAGAATTTATCATTTATGTATATTAGACGGTATCTCTGACTCGTTTTGGTACACCCTTGCATTAGAAGTTTTAGGAAACATCTAGAACAACATTGGAATTGACATCGAACATGACAAATCTGTTTCTGCACGAAAATTAGTTGTATGTGTTGGCACATACGATTTTCAGGACGACACATGTGTTGCATTATTTAAGCATGTAGCTTTTGTTTCTCATGTGTCGGCACATGGCTTGTTTCAGGTCGGCACATGTGTCAATTTTTGGCATCATGTGTCGGTACATAACTCGTCTATGCTGGCACATCCTGATTGTTTGTTCAATTTTTTAACTATTTTTTAAATCTGAAGTTTCCCCTTTTTCAACTATTTTCCCTCAACTATAAAGACATCATACATGCATCATTCCAACTTGATGAAACTATAAACACTTGCCATTATTACTCTTTATCTTCAACCTCCAAACTATACATACACACTAAAAAACTACACATAATCATTTTTTGTTGCGGTAACATCTAGACGAGGTTTGATAACGTCCAATTAGATTTGTGTAATTGAGTATATTGGGTTGAGAATTGTGGATTTGTGAGAAGTCGCCAGATTTATTTTGGCATGGAACAATAATTGTGGTCTAATCGTTTTGTAACATATAATTTATACATGTTGTATAAAAAATGTTGCTAGAAACAATAAATATTGTAGTGTCTTCTTATGGATGAGTCTTTTATTCTTATATTTTATTTGGTTTATATTTCAAACTGAAAAAAAATTCTTTTTTTAACCTCAAACTTTTTTTAGATCTAATAATTTAATATTTTTTTTAGAACTATTGACATTTATATTTTGTAAAATTTTCTTACTTTCTCAACATGATTAAAGTCACTACGCCAAATAAGCTATTTAATAGCGCTTTTTTTTGTTTTTGATAGCGCTTAAAAGTGCTATTAACCGCGCCACTATTGTAAATATTTCTTATTTAATAGCACTTTAAAAGCGCTATTAAAGTACCAATTTATAATAGCGTTTTAATTAAAGTGCTATCAAAGTCAGTATTTTGCATGTTTTTTGTTTGTGTTTTTATAGCACTCTAAACAAAAAGCGCAAATATATAACATATGTTTGATAGCGCTTTCAAATAAAGTGCTAATAAATGGTACATATTTGGTACAATATTTTTAATAAGTACAGTACAATATTTTTTCTTACACAATCATTTTTTTGGTGTAAATATAAAATAACTATATTCAATTCAACACAAATAACGCTTTAAGTTACTCATTGCATATATATTATGATCCATCAAATACCAAATAACATTTTAAATTACCAAATCCTATTGTTTCCAAATATCATAACATATAGAATATTAAGAGGGCGTTTGCATAGCCAAATTTGTAGATGCCCATCTATTAGTACTTCAATCCAAATCCAAAAACATACAATCAAATTCTCTAAACAAAACACCAAAAAAATAAGAAAGGATAACAAAACAATCCCATGTAGTAACCACCTTCATGATCCAAAAGCGTTGAACTCATAGATACAATCACTAATTAGGAAAAATAATTGCTTCTTGTTTTCCTGTATCATAGAAGGAATATTGATTATGTATTGTACAATAAAAACTAATTCAACATATAAGGGTATGTAGCTTGCCTATTGAATTGTCAGTTTTGTGCCAAAACTTATATGTATGAGGGAAGATTGCTGTGTGTGGCTGAAATGATTACAAAATTCAGAAATTGAGTTAGACTAGAAATAAATACAGTAGCAACATCCCATTCTAATGTGTTAACATAAAATACTTGACTTACGGGATTAAGCAATGCCTTATAGGGAGAATCATCAACAAGCAGAGTGTTTTTAGCATTAAAACTTCTAAACTGATCCCAAACTTTATTCAAATCCTTAAACACCATTTTTTTATCTGGTCGAGTAGGTACATGAAAAGTACTTTTTGTACAGTACAAACGATCCTGCAAAAGTAATCCTTTGAATGAATGTCTTATCAAAAAAGAATTCTTAGGATGTGCAACATTAATCATATCCTATTTCCAACACTCCTAATTATGTTTCCAACAAGACTAAATCCAATGCTCCTCCTCCAGCTGAAGCAACTGAATGCTCTAGGCTTGGAACAGATAAATTGAATTCTTGGAAACACCAAGACCAGATCTGGATCCAGGAGGAAAAACCGATTCAGCAGGTGGAAGCACCGCCAGAGAGGAGCCGCCACGCGCGGCTGAGAGACACAATGGAAGAGTGTGTACTAAAGTTCAAGCTAGGAATAATCAAATATAAGAGTGTGTGTGCTCACCCAAAAGAAAAGTAACTCTTTTTGCCTATCTTTAAATAAAAAATCAACCAACTTCTTAACATTGATCCTACAAAACAGAAATTATGGATATAAGTTTCTACAATGCAGATAAATGACAAAAGGTAAATGCAAATAAAGAATAGTGGAAAGAGCCAACCAAGAGAAAAAATGGGGACAAACCCAACATTATAATTTAATAAAATGAAAATTAGAGATGAATGAAGTACCTTTCTTTTGAAGACCAAATAGCCACTACAAAGTTTTCAAAACAGAATTCCAAAAACTCATGACAATTCTTTCTCATGTACACTAACTGTTTATTTTGTTCATTTTTGTCATTTACCAATATCCTGTCTGGTTTTGGAGAGAACTCAGGTGTTCCATCAGATGTACAGACAAATTCTACGTCTGCAAGCACCCCGTTTATATCAAAAATTAAAAGTTTCTTCTTCGACTGCACATACAAGAATCGTGGTTAAGCATACTATCAACTTTATTTATAAAATAAATAAAAAATGAGAGAAAAACTTGAAACAAACAAAATCTCACAGTTCCCAAACAAGAGTCTCGTCCAAACTTTCTAGAAGGGGATGTCCCAATTCTCAAACCCCAACGCTCAGGTCCCAACACTTTTGGGATTGCATCTATGGATTCGCAAAAAATGTGAGTCTAGAAGTGAAAAGTTCAACACAATTAAAAGAAGTTTAATTGAAGTTAGTTGTCCAACCGCTAGCACATGTCGAGTTTTTCAACTTTTTGACTGCATCGTCCACAGCATGTATAATCATTTTCTTCACCTGTTACCATATTACCGGCAATCAGGAAAAACAATTCACAAAATCCCACATGAAACTATTGACATTACAATACAACAGAGTAACACAAACAACAAAATAGATTGACAATCAGGACTTGAAACATTCAACAAGGATTTAATCTAAATCAAAATAGTCCCAGGAAGGTAGCTCAATTGGCGAGCTAAGGGACATGAAGGAGTTGCAAGAAGGAGGCCCAGGGTTCAAATCCTGGAAACCAACATTCACCCACCCCCACTGACATTTTGGTTATTAAAAAAAATCTAAATCAAAATAGAAACGTTTAATGACAGAACCATGTAAAGTACATGAAAAAGCTAAGCTACATTAACACTAGATATTACAATAGAAAAATAGAAATTTCAAAACCAACAACAAACCTGTCTTTTACAATTTGTTTTCATGATTTTTCAGAGAGCAAGAAACAAGCAATGAAACAAACAAGGTGTTCAAAAGAAAAAGTAATTGAGAAACTAATGACAAAATCAAGATGCATTATCTGAATATATTGGATAAGCATATGAACAGAAAAATCCAATCTGGAAAAGCAGTGTTTGCATACCTGCAATTTGTCCTCGTTGGACCCGTGATTTTTCGGAAGTTTGCGGAATTCTTCTGTCAAACGGATGCACTCACCAACATTTTCAGGTGAGACAAAATCAAGTGCAACCTTGGTGCATGACTGTAAAAGGACAATGCATATCATTGGAATTTACACAAACATTTCAAGTTGATGCTTAGAAATCTGTCGTGTCTAACTTGCCTATTGACCATTCCAAATTTGATTGAAAGGACCACATAGCATTACCATATTATTTTGAAGAAATGCTCCTAGCTTCAATAAATTATCAAACTAACAAAATTACCTAAATATGCATATTCCATTCAAAGACAATTATGATTTTCTTCTCTTGCAAGTTATAGATTCTTTAGTGCCATAGTTGGCAAGATAACAGAATCATCCAACAAAAAAGCAACAATGTCACTTTCCATTCTTCTCCTTTTTTCATATGATTGATCATGTAAAGTTTCTTACAAGAAGAAAACAATCAAGTTTCTATCAATGTAGCTTGCAATAGAAAAATAATACTAATAATACAAGAAGCAAGATGCTTCCACACTATAATAATCAATTGCACATGGACTTGACTCAAATAGTATTGTCTCATTGTGCATCTAATCAAAAATCTTCATCACCTTTAACCTCTATATAACAAGAATAACACAAATATATATACACATCCACAATCATATCTGCAATCTCTACCAGATGGTGTGTTGTGTTTTCTGCAACTTCACATTGGTAAAAGCCAAACTAATGTTTGTGGTGATCTTCAAGTAGTTTAGAATTTCATTGAGGAAAAAATACAGTGTTTGACGTCGGGGGAAAATCAGTCTAAAAAGTTCTTTGCGTTTACTTTCCGAGGTTGAAATCTTCAGGTACAAATGGCCTCAACCGAGAGTTTCTTCAAGACATTTGGACACGGATCTCCTCCAAAATTTTCAGGCGACACGGTTACCTTGCACGAGTTCTGTCCAACACAATTCTGCAACAACAAAAGTCACCTTTGAGTAATGAAACGAGTAAAAGTAAAAATCAAACATAAAATATCTTTATCGAAAACTATGTATGAGTGACGATTTTGATAGATTGACGGTGTAAAATATCTTTATCGAAAACTATGTTTAACTATATATAGCAATACCTTTTCCAAAGCATTATAAGACTTGTGAGCATGGCAGCTTCCTTCATGAAAGTTTCCACAAGACCCTACTAGAGTACCAAAGCTAGCGAATTTGATTGATGAAATTTTCTGTCCAGGGCCACATGATAGATGCTTTTGGTCTAATAGGTTGGGTAGATTTGCCAGAACTTTGCATTTGATAACTTATAAGATTTGGTTGCCACTCATAAATATCAGCACATACACTGTCTATATCCCTTCTAACCAAAAAGATTCCACTCGGATCTCCGCCCAATTCTTCGAACACAACCAATAGATTTCCGGTTGGTTCCAACCACGAACGAGGAACGTGGTACCTGAAATTAGCATCCATTGATTAGTTTGTCGAATAGTTTCTCATTGGCATTATACAAAAAATACGCAAGCTTTATGTTTCTCACTCACCATCTTTGAGAAGCTTCGCCGCAGTTACTTCTACATTTATTCTCATTATAAGTTCCTGCATAGTCACAGTTATCACATTTACCAGATGATGCTTTATAAGCAGGCCAGTAACGGCCGAGATTCTGTCCAAACTATACATACACACTAACAAACTACACATAATTATTTTTTGTTATGGTACCATCTAGACGAGGTTTGATAACATCCAATTACATTTGTGTAATTGAGTATATTGGGTTGAGAATTGTGGATTTGTGAGATGTCGCCAGATTTATTTTGGCATGGAACAATAATTGTGGTCTAATCGTTTTGTAACATATAATTTATACATGTTGTATAAAAAATGTTGTTAGAAACAATAAATATTGTAGTGTCTTCTTATGGATGAGTCTTTTATTCTTATATTTTATTTGGTTTATATTTCAAACTGAAAAAATAAATCCTTTTTTAAACCTCAAACTTCTTTTAGATCTAACAATTTACTATTTTTTTTAGAATTATTGACATTTATATTTTGTAAAATTTTCTTACTTGCTCAACATGATTAAGGTTTTTGAGTTTTTTTTTGTATGTATATTTATTCTAGTTTCACATTTTGTATTCCATCGTATATGCTTTCCAAGTTATGATTGCCATTATAGCATTAGGACGGCCGTATAAGTCAAGCTTTAAAGCCCATATTTTGTCGATGATTTTTTTTTTAAAGTTGTTATTTCATTGCTTACTTATGAGTTATTATCAAATTCTATATTAAAAATTTAGGTGATTAGGAGATATCCCTTTTGAATTTATTAAGTTTTAAAGTAAAATTTTTATTGTATTTTATTATTTTATTTTTAAAGTGTAACTCTATGAATTTCTATGGTTAAGATAGAGTAAATGCAATTTTATATTAATCAGAAAATACATTTTCATTATAATTTATATTAAGATTAATTTATTTTTATAATTAATTTATATCAATGTTAATTTATTCTTGTATCGAATACATTCAATAAGTTTCTAAACTTATTATGAGTATTTTTCTATATTTTAAAGTTGTATAATTGAGAATGGTAGGAACAAGGAGGATTGCATTTTTTAATTGAGTAAGGAAATTCTAAAAGAATTAGTAACAAGAGGAATTCATTTTTTAATCATGAATGGATTAAATTATAGAAGAATTAGTAACGAATATACAGCTCAATTGAAACAAATATATATATTTAAACAAATATATAACTTTTTCTATTTTAAATTTATTAATACGTAAGTGTTTCAATCATATATTTTAAAATTTACTAGATTGTGAATCCAATTAAGTATTATTGACTGAATTTAGTTCTCATTAATATTAATAATATCTATAGAATGAAATATTTTTAAATTGAATTATAAAAAAAATTATTTATTTTTAGAACATTTTAAATAGCCTTTCTTAAATAAATCAAATATTAAAATTAATTATTTTTAAGAATGTCTAAAATGACATTATTAAAAAAAATTAAATAAAGAAATTGATTTTTAATAAAATTATTTTAAATATTATTATTAAAAAATTAGAAATCGGGTTAATCAAATTTTAATTACAAAAGTAAATAAAAATAATAGATATATAATCAAATTTGTCACTGAATTTAATAGTTAATTACTAATATCAATTTCAAATCCATCATTATTTTTGGTGATAACAAATCCATCGCTAAATCCATAAATAGTTAATGATTAAGACTTTTGAAATTAAAAAATAATAGTCGTATAATGACCGAATTTAAAATATTTTCAATTATTATTAAATCATTAAAAGTAACACTTTTAATAGTGAATTTAACTTGTTTAATATGATTAATAAATACAAATTTATTAATATTAAACAAATTAAAAAAAAGAATTTACCTAAAAAGTAAAGAAATCACAAGAAGAAACTCTAAAAACTTTATATTCAACTTAATTTTTTAATTTATTTAATTATATGATAATAACTAATCAATTTAAATAATGTTAATTTATTATGGTGTCTATCACCTCATTTCAAACATGTCATTTCATTATTTTTTGATGAAATAATAAAATATCCTTGTTTTTTAATAAAAAAATATGAAAAGGACACTAAAATTTTTAGTTATAAAAATAGATTGATTAATTTCAATATTATGTAAGAAACCAAAATCAATCAAGCCAAATTATTTTAAAAAGAAAGAAATTTAACATATACGAAGTAGATATATATTGACATGACATTTCTATAAACTATGGATGATATAAAAGTGATAGGATATTTATGTGTATTTCTCATGCAGTTTCTCGTGTCTTTTTTTGAGGTTGTGTATTTCTCATACATTTTTTCGTGTCTTTTTTTTTTGTAGTTGTGTATTTCTCATGCATGGTACATGTGTGTCATGAGTTATACATATAAAAGTTAGCAAGTGAATAGTGTGTGATAACTTTTAAAAGAATTTAATTATCTTATGAAGTAATTATCATGTGACTTGTATGATTTTTCTGAAAGTTATACCTTAAGTTGTGGACTTGGCCATGTTAATGATGTATGATTAATTGATTATTATAAGAAAACTATTTTAGATTAACCCCCACAATTGATGGAATTATATAAAATGTTAATTTACTAAACACTTGATATCGATTTAGAATATTGATGTTTACGGAGGGATTGTGATATAGGTCAATGATAATTTATATATAATACTTGCATTTTTTAATTCAATGAGACGTCTTTTTTTAAGAACAAAAACCTTAGCGATTTATAGTAGAAATGTACAAGATTGATTTATAGTTCACATACCTATTAAGTGATATGATCGTAGTGATGGAAGATTGTACCGCGTTCCTCTCTATTTAATCTAGTGTCAATCACTACTGAACGAACTATCAATTAGTGTTTTGAAATGATACTTTGAATAAACAAAATTTTCATATTTATGCTACACTTTACAGATGATCATGACATTGTTTTTGAAGTTACGTGCAAAGGAATCATGCCAAGTTATAATAGTTTTTCAAAAAGTTGATTTAGCCATCAAAACCTCATCTGACATATGCATGATCAGAACCATTTGTCAATTCATATAGCTTTTGTTTGAGGACAAAAAAGAAGTTATCCAATAAGTGTTAAATTTAATTGTTTTACACGGACACTTATTGACTTACAATAATAGTAATAAAATGAAATAAGTCAAATTTACCATGAAAAGATGATAAATCATTTTGTGAGCTTTTTAACTAAGTTATCCATTCACATGGGTGAGAATAGTACAAGAAAAAAAAGCACCAAGAAAAAGGGAAGAAGAACTTACTAAGCGAGACAGAGGCATGCCTAGCGAAGCACGTGTAGTCATTAGTCACTTAGCTCAGTCAGACAAAGACCTCGACCAACAAGAAGGACGGAATGAGAGACATGAGAGATTTTAATTATTTCCTTAAGTATTTATAATAATAGCATAAATTTTAAACAATAATAACACTTACTTTATTATAATGAAATAAAAAGGTTATTTTACATTAATGTTTACAATAATGGTCAAATACACTAAAATCCTCCAAAGAAAATTATCTATCATTATTAAGTTTGTTTTGTATGGTTGAGTTAGATTAAATCATATTTCTTAACATTGTAACAAGAGTCTGGTTATGTTCGGTGGACCACCTACTATCAGGTTTCTCTATTGGGCCACCTACCAGTTATTTATGTGTTCTAAATGGCCAGACCTAGACATGAAGGAGTGTGTTAAGAGTCCCATATCGGATAATATATGACCTGAACATGTGCTTTTAAGGGAGAACACTCTTCTCCCTATAAGAAAGTGTGAGATGTGAGTGCAACTTGCCTTTAGATATTTTGCATGATGTCAAAACTAGAAGAGTTTATCATTTCTGTATATTAGACGGTATCTCTGACTCGTTTTGCTACACCCTTGCATTAGAAGTTTTAGGAAACATCTAGAACAACATTGGAATTGACATCGAACATGACAAATCAGTTTCTGCATTAAAATTAGTTGCATGTGTCGGCACATACGATTTCCAGGACGGCACATGTGCTGCATTATTTAAGCATGTAGCTTTTGTTTCTCATGTGTCGGCACATGGCTTGTTTCAGGTCGGCACATGTGTCAATTTTTGACATTATGTGTCGGTACATAACTCGTCTATGCTGGCACATCCTGATTGTTTGTTTAATTTTTTAACTATTTTTTAAATCTGAAGTTTCCCCTTTTTCAACTATTTTACCTCAACTATAAATACATCATACATGCATCATTCCAACTTGATGAAACTATAAACACTTACCATTATTACTCTTCATCTTCAACCTCCAAACTATACATACACACTAAAAAACTACACATAATCATTTTTTGTTGCGGTAACATCTAGACGAGGTTTGATAAAGTCCAATTAGATTTGTGTAATTGAGTATATTGGCTTGAGAATTGTGGATTTGTGAGAAGTCGCCAGATTTATTTTGGCATGGAACAATAATTGTGGTCTAATCGTTTTGTAACATATAATTTAGACATGTTGTATAAAAAATGTTGTTAGAAATAATAAATATTGTCGTGTCTTCTTATGGATGAGTCTTTTATTCTTATATTTTATTTGGTTTATATTTCAAACTGAAAAAAAATTCTTTTTTTAACCTCAAACTTTTTTTAGATCTAATAATTTAATGTTTTTTTTAGAACTATTGACATTTATATTTTGTAATGTTTTCTTACTTTCTCAACATGATTAAAGTTTTTGAGTTTTTTTTGTATGTATCTTTATTCTAGTTTCAAATATTGTATTCCATCGTATATGCTTTCCAAGTTATGATTGCCATTATAGCATTAGGACGGCCGTATAAGTCAAGCTTTAAAGCCCATATTTTGTCGATGATTTTATTTTTTTTTAAAGTTGTTATTTCAATTGATTACTTATGAGTTATTATCAAATTCTATATTAAAAATATAGGTGATTAGGAGATATCACTTTTGAATTTATTAAGTTTTAAAGTAAAATTTTTATTGTATTTTATTATTTTATTTTTGAAGTGTAACTCTATGAATTTCTATGGTTAAGATAGAGTAAATGCAATTTTATATTAATCAGAAAATACATTTTCATTATAATTTATATTAAGATTAATTTATTTTTATAATT